GGAGGGGGTGGAAACGCCTGGAATAGCCCGATTCCGAATCGGGCCTGTCCGAACAGCTATTCTGGTTCAGTCCCATTTTTAACCTTGGCAAAATAATTTCAGGTAGAACGGACGTGTTCCAGGCCAAACCGAACGAGGCCTTAGGGATATGGAAGCGAGAGACCTGAGGCCGAGAGGGAGTAGGAAGCGTACCTTCCTCGAGATATCGGCCCTGTTCGTTTCGCTGAAATTTGGCTTATACTAATTTGTTATGAGAAGAAAACACTATTTGTTCGCTGAAATATAGCATGTCTTTGCGGCGAGCGGAGCACGGGCACTGGCCTCCGGCGGGCGGCGGTGCCTCCTGCTCCAAGAGAAGAAAAGGGAAGTGATCGATGAGCCGTGCGTTGATGCACAACGACCGAGAGTCCGCGACGCCTAAAATCTTGTTCGGTTACGAATTTTCCTTTTCTTTTGGGAAACAGGAGGGTCTGAGCCCCTATTGGATGGTAAATAAACTTAAAAGAAAAGAGCACAGAGTTTTTTTTATACCAGTCAAAAAGAAATCTAACTTGGTTCCATGGAATTGAAAGTTATTCCAAGAATCAGATTCCATAATAATTGAAATGGCTGGAAAGTGATTTAAATCCTTTTTTTTTTGGCTAACCATGGAATATGTTTCTTGGGAACACATTCAAATATTTTGGCAATACAAAGAACCAATATATGTATACATTACTCTCTATCCCAAAATACAAGGTATCCTAGGAACTCTACAACAAATTATAGGATTATTAAACAAATGATGTTTGTAACCTTCATTTAACTGTAGAAATATATTGTGCTCAGTACTATGTTTTGACTATAGTAGTAGACAATAATGGTAGATATTGTTGCTTCGAAGGAGTTTTGGAATACTTTAATTAATAACTTAAATTTCAGGATGGGGAATGGCTCCTAGTGGTCGCAGATTTCTTTGACTGGCCTGCATGCAGATACGATTTTGGAGGATTGCACAGTTATAAAATGTGCATCGAGACAGCAGCAATCCATAGTGCCGCGTCAAATGCGCACTCAGCGTGTTAATGGAAAGAAATTCTGACTGCTGTTCCATTCTGGTGGTCAGCGTGTTACTCATCAAGTCTCATCTCTCCTATGTACATTTGCCATATCTGGCATCGATATTAATCACAATAATTACAAGAACCTTTTGAGTTCCTTCAAATCTCCAACTAATGTATCAGTTGATTTAGTCCGTCCATCATATGCTCTGGTCTCCGTTATTCACTTCAAGGATCTTCTACCTTTCTCTCAAAAGCGTCACTCCTGTTCCAACACACACTAACCCTTTGTGCGAATTATGAAGGCCCTTCTCTGCATCTTGTGAAAGCTGCCAAGGAAGCTTAATTGGCAGGAACACATGTAAAGGATCAATGGTCATATTATCTGTCAGAGGCGATGGCTTCTTCTATCCTTCTGATTACAATGCTGAGACTATGCCCGTCTTCCAGTGCTTTGACTGCAGCTCTATGAGCTTTCTTGTGCCACTTCAGGAGGTTATAAGACTGCATGACTGACCAACGAGCTCGGTTTGCCATCTGATAAGCAGTGGAGAAACACTGATAAATCATATAGGTTTATTCAGAAATAAGTAAGGCATATACAAGATAACAGCAAAATAATGTGAACCTGTGCAACAGAAAGTGGTGGGTTCAGTAGAATACACAAACTCCTGAATAAGTTCTCATCATTTTCTCCACCTTCTGCCTCCCCATAAACAAGTGCTTCAGCAGCAATTCCGGCAAACAGAATCATGCAGTACCTGCCAATTTCGAAAAGTCAAATGATGTCCAAGAATTCCAATTGCCAACACTCAGACAAATAACTAGTTTATGTACCTGTCAAATGCAGTACTTGATAGATGACCCTCGGCTAGTTCTTTTTCCATCTTTTCATCCCAGAACTGAGTCCCTGCCTGCAGTGGTATTGAAGCACCCATGAGAGTTCTATAACATGTGGTATACTATATATGAAGGGCATGAGGTGATAAAACCAAAATGGGAATGGCACGATAGCTGAGCCTGAGATCCTCCAGAAGAAAAAGGAATGCAATACAACTACAAGTGCATACGATGCAAAGCCAGAAATCTAACAATCTACTACAAGTGTAATATGGTGAACCAAGAAAAAACAGGGGAGCTGATAATGTGGCCTCAAATCTCATGAGGACTTAATTACCTTAAGGATAATATCAAACCTAAAAAATATACAACATCATTCGTCACATTTTTCAATACTAGCCGCTTCTGTTTTTTTTTTTTTTTTTGATAACTAGCCGCTCTGTGTTTTTATCATGTATAGTTGTCGGAACATTGATAATGATAATGCACTGCAGAACATAAAAGATCTTGTGCAAAAAATTCATATTAAGGCCTAGCCCTCAAAAGGTGTGGTGAAGTTTTGAAGGGACAAAAAATGCACTGTCTCATTGGATAATAGACAACCAAGCGCAACAGATAGATAGCCACAGTATCAAATTTAACAATAGTTGTACCTGGCCCTGGATGCCCATTCGCAATGCCACAAATGGATCCAAAATGACTCCTCGTATCGGGCAGCCCATTAGATAGGCTATAAATAAGTGGCAAGGAAGTAAGAACATTACTGAAGTAGAATCTCAGAAGTCAGATAAATTACAAATTACATACTGGAGAAGTTAAAGCGAAAACTATTCTCACAAAACGGGAGCCAGTGAATAATGTAAGAGCAAAAAGGTAGAAAAGGTAAAGCCATACCAGTAAGAAGATGGCCTGCTTCGTGTACAAGGATCCGGCGTTTATATGGAGGCCAGAAACATGAGATTTGAGCGAGACAAGTGCCACCAAGAAACAATGCATCGGCTGTTGCTAATCCCAATAGAGCACCCAATTTAGGCCGTAGATCAACCCCTTGTGTCAGTAGAAAAGATACACCTCCAAGAAATCCAACGAGAACATATGGAGAACTTCCAGACAGACCCCATTTCTTTGGTGCAAGTTTTTCAGCTGAAGAAATCAATAAATTAAAAAACATATACCTTTATGCCATAGTGCTGATAGATCACAATAGATGAGCTAAAGTTCCTTTGAAACAGCTCTATCAGCTTGTTATGAGTATGTTTTGCTAAAGAATGTTGCAGTAGAATTTTCATGTTTTAGATTAATAAAAGAAAAAAGTGCTGCCTGAACTTCCTGCTATGTAGTAACTGGCAACCCACTGCAATTTTTTAGTATAGAATATCACAGTGGAAAAGAGGGGACACTGTCTCAATCCTCACCTTCCAAACCGGTCATCTCCTTCAAAACCGTTGGCGTCACTTCTCTTGGCCCTTCCAGAACTGTAGAAAACGGAATACATATATACAGTCAATCTGAAAGGCAGTAGGGCCTATAACACAGTAGACGTTAACTGATAAACTTGAAGACAAGTTCAAATGGCGAGGCGTCATAGTAAATGACTATATCAATCAAATCAGCACATGCCAAATTCTACAACCCCATTTCACAAACAGATAAGAAGATGAACGTATTAATTCGGTGCCATGTCCAAATAGTGAAGGCATTTCGCAACTGCGTTCCTAAAATCCCAACTCACCGATGTTCTTGCACTTGCCGAAGCTGGCGAGGACCCCGCGGTCGACGAGGAACTGGTATGCCCGGCCGACGAGGCGCATGTCGTCGGCGTCGATGCAGGCGTCGAGCACCTCCCAGTCCCGCCCCGGCGGCACGGGGACCGCGACCTGCACCGCCGCGGGCTCCACGGACTGCAGGAAGCGGAGCGCGCGGGGGAGGTCCTTCCTCCTGACGGCGTCCTCGAACTCCCGCCACTCCTTGACGGCGCCCGCGTCGTCCTCAAACTCGCGCCACTCTTTGACGGAGCCCGCCCGCAGGCGGGGCCAAGAGCGGCGGCGGAGCGCGCACGGCGTGCGGAGGAATCGGTTGGGGAACGAGGTGGAGGCGAAGGCGGTGGCGAGGGGTAAGTTGGATGAGGCCGTTGGCGTCGCCATTGGTCCGGGTCGCGGAGGTGAGCAAGGGGTGGTGGAGTGGTTCTGGTCGTCGCGGCGTCGTCCACGGCCGGCCACCGCCGGGACGGCACGTGGGCCGGACCTTGCTGGGTTTGTGGTCGAGTGTTTCGGGCCGGGCTTATTTCTTGTCCAGCTCAGGCCCAACGTTTTAATTCGAATGTTTCTTTCTTTTGTTTGAAATGAAATGTATAAAATTCGAATGTTTCTGGTCGAATGTTTTGCGAAAATTCATCGACTGTGTTCGTAAAGTTAAGATCTACAAACAAAGGGATCAAATTATAAGTAGACATTTTTATGTGCGTACAGGACATAACCTCACCTACTACAGACCTACGGTACTCGTGTTTGTTTAATATAAGATTGTAAAAAATGACTCTTTTTTTTTTCCACCCAGCTTCTGTTTTGCGTGCTGTTCGAAGCATTAGCGTAATCACGAAGCAGAAGAATTAGTCCACAGTGGCGTTAACTTTGATGGGAACGTATGTGGTGCAAACCAATCACCCATGCAATCTTAGAAACTACAAATCAAGATCATAAAATACTAATCTAATGAATAAATTAGAGGTGAAATTATTTTGCGCTTAAGTCCCCACCAGCCGCCGGACACTTTTCCAAACGGACACGAGGGGTAGGGGGTATCGGAAATGTAACCGGCTGATGAGAGATTTAAGCGTAAAATAATTTCACCTCTAACTCTATTTATTAGATTAGCATATTATGACCCGATCAGATATGGTCCCTTCACTGGATTAGCCGCATCCATCTTCCATTCCATCGCCTCCTCTTCTCCTCTCAACCCATCGCCGTCCCCGTCCGGCCGCCCCTCACAAACCATCTTTCTTTTCTTCCTCCTTTTCCATGTGCTCTCCTCTCCAACAAGTGAGGTCTTATCCCTCCCCTAGGGGGCATTGGCATTGATCAGAAACGAGCGCAACCCCGATCGAGTAGCTCTGCCAACATGATGTCATCGTCGTCGGTCGCCCTGACGAGTACGATTCAGCAAGCGAGCAACGCCGGCGTCCTTCCGCCGCCGGCTCATGTGGCCCCCAATGCCGCCGCCGTTGTCGGCCATCTCGAGGAGAGCTCGAGGCAGCAAGACCCCGACTCCAGTGGCCGTCGTCCGTCCCGGCGTCTCATAGACTTTCTGGGCGGTCGGCATGAAGGGAGTCCAGATCAGATTTCCCCCGACGAATCCTCCGGCTCCGGCATCCGTCTTCCACCTCCAGTCAAGGGGCGTCCAATGGATGTTGTGGGCGATCGACGTGATGAGGACGCTCCGGATCTGCTTTCCCCAAACTCTGGCAGCCGTCGTCCAGGGGCCGCTCCTGCTCGCCACTGGATGCCCGAAGTCATCGGGTTTTCCGTGCTGACCTTCAACAGCGCCATGGCGGCCTACCGCTCCTAGGGAGACGCTGGGGCCATCTTCTTCATTGCTTCCACATATTTCACCATAGTCAGCCTCTTCTTAACCGTCAAGCTGTTCCAGGCAGCGCCGCCGAATTCGAGGAGGAAGAACGGACTTATGGTGTCCATCTGGATCCTTACCATGTTGCTTACTTTCGGATTTGTGTACCAGATCATGGGGACCAATGCTAAGCCGGCGCTGCAGTTGGCACTGCTGCTGTGGGCGATGCCTGCAGCAACAGGAGCCTCTGTGTACATCCAGCCTGTCCGTTTAGCTGGTTCGTATCGTTGCTGGTTCTGCTGGCCGGTTCAGGTGAACAGTACTCATGTGAGGGGGCTGGCCAGCCCCAGCGATCAGGCTGATCGTCTTTTGCGGCAGGTAAATCCGTAAGGGCGTGTTTAGATGCAAAATTTTTGGGTTTTGGCTACTGTAGCTTTTTCGTTTGTATTTGACAATTAGTGTCTAATTATGGACTAATTAAATTCGAAAGTTTCGTCTCACAATTTCTCACCCAATTGTGCAATTAGTTTTTTTTCGTCTACATTTAGTACTCCATACATGTGCCGCAAGATTCGATGTAATGGGTACTGCGCAAGATTCGAGGTAAATTCTGGAGTGTACAGATTGTTTGCATTTTGTTACATTTATAAACTGATCTGCTGATATTATGCATCGTAGAGTACTTGTTATGATGTCGGTACTTGATACACTATGTCAATATTTATTTTCCGATTGGCCTAAATCCCTCGTCAATGTTCAGTATAAAACTCAAGTTTTGCAAATTTTGACCAACACTTAGTCAACTATATTTATGTGCATGCTTAGAGCACCAAAGTTGCATTAAATAGATATGTATTCAAATTAATTTTAGATGATATTGATTTCATGGCAATCGACAATACAATATAAGAGAAAGAAATGAAATGGTAAGACCCTATTTTTTAAAGAGTCTCTCCTCTTTTTTAATGATGAAAGACTTCCTGATTTCTAAATGTGCCTTACAATGATGAACACAGGGAGTACCACTAGTGTTTAATTACCTTTTTTAGATAATGAAGTGTTTAGTTACCAAGGACTTTGACTTTGTTGAGCCTTCCCCATTGAAACCTTCCTGGAAACATCAATTAAGAGCACTACACCCCCTCGATCATCTTGTGAAGTGTACCTGATCTCCTAAATCTCGTTCCCATTTACGGTTTAATTTCACCATAAGAAATACTATACTTGTTGGAGACCATGAATCCCCCAGGACAATCCAATTTCATCTATTTATTTTCTTATCAACATTTAGTTTTTGTCCTTAGTCTTGTGACCTATTATTGCTACTAGCTAGAATTAATCTACTTGTTGGGTCTCAACTTTGCACACTATCTTGTTTCCTCTAAAAAAATTTTACACGCTGTTGCTAGTTCATTGGAGCTAGTTTATGTTTAGGGGTTGTTTGATACCTGGACTAAAATTTACCAGAAAGAGAGCTCAAATGAACTAATAGCTACTAGTCCATTTATCCAAACAGCGCCAGACTAAAATTTAGTCACCTAACAGTTAGTTCTGACAACTAGTCCTACACAGTCCAAAATAGGCTCTTACTTTGATTAGGTTCTTTTATCACTTTTCATAATTTCTATCACCTCGGTTTGTTCTTGAACTTCTCATAATGCTTCTATTGTTTGTTCTTTTGTTGAATGGCATTCTCGATTTCAACCATGTCATCTAGAACTCAGAGTTGAAATATGTCATTAATGTTTAAGTATTGTGCAACAAGTGAAATGATAATGTCATTAGTGTTTAGGGATTGTGCAACAAGCGAAATGATAGTGTCCTAGTGTTAGTAATTTGTTTTAGCCTTACACATACTCTTTTTTTTAGAACAGATAAGTCCTGAAAGGATTAACGACTAGTCAATATGGATGCCGGATGGTGCTCTTTTCTGTGAAGATTATTTGCTTGTTTGAAGACGTTTTGGCATCTAAAAGCCAGACATATTTTCAATCTTTTATCTGTTTCAAGTCGGATTGCATGTAGTAAGATTATACTATAAAATTTATATCTTATAGCAGTTCAGTTGGAGGGCTATATTTTAAAATTTGACAAAAGGGCCTCTTGTTTTTCCTGAACAGTCCTAGAGCTCCTGAGTCCTGACACAGGGTAAAACATAGCTTAGTGTTTCATGTCACCTTTAAGGCAACTTATACCCATCTTATTTTGTCAATTAATTAATTATATGGCTGTCCTACAAGTGATTAGTAGTAATCAGCTTGCAATGTATAGTAACTCTTGTTTGTTGCTTCGACTCCACCTTTACAGATCTGGCGCACCCCTGGGTGAAGAACTGCTAGATGTGTAGATCAGAGTAACCAGTTCTGAAGATTTTATCTTCCACGGTTGGTTTAGTTATTTTGTATCTACCGTTTGTGGCCCTGTTCGCTTGTATTATAATCCGTACTTTTCAGCTTGTTTTTTCAGCCGTAACAGTGTTTTTCTCTCACAATAAATCAGTCGGAACAGTGTTTCAGCTTGTTTTTTCAGCGAAGCGAACGAGGCATGTATATGTACTCTGTTAATGCATAGATGCAATACTTTAACTGGTATACTCTAGGTCGGGCTTGGTTGCATATTATTTTTTATACATCGGGTTTGGATATATTATGTTCGCTTCGCTGAAAAGCTAGGTTGAAAAGTACTGTTCGCTGATTTGTTGTGAGAAAAAAAATATCATGGCTGATAAGTTCAAGCGAACAAATATGGTACGAGTAATTACTAGCTTTTTGCTGCTTAGATATTCCCTAACAAAAATCAGAGTCAAAGCTGTATTCTGTGTTTTGGATGCTGGCATGCTGCGATTCATGTCTGAGACATCAATCTGTATCAATCTATATTTTGAACATTTGCCTGGATACGATCTCAGGTCACTGAACCCTAAGCACTTGAGAGGACACAAGCAGCCGAGAACTAAGCGATACATCTTGCTGAACAAGGTGTTCGAGCAAGCTGTTCGGAACAAGCACGAATGAGAAGTACACGCAACGAAGCACCATCATGCAATGCAACAGTGGAACGATTCTTTAGCGCAACAGAGACGCCGGGAACCGTTTGCAGCACCAACGAGGTGTTGTTTTCGTATCCTTCTGTGTCGTCAAGCATACAGATTATGCAACAGTCTCTCGTACGTTCACAGAAAAAGATCACAAGTATTCACAGGCGCTTGCTGACAGCTGAAATTAGTCCCTTGCAAGTTGTAGAACCCATGGACTCACAATTCCCAGCAATTGGTTTTCTTAAGAGCACAGGATAACGGCATAGAATAGTCGACAAATCTCACCACACAGCCAAAAAACAAAAAGTTTTCAGAGCAGAGGCATATCTAAGCTCAATGTTCTTCTCTATCTAAAAATACCTTGCAGCATGATCACTATACATTATCTGATCAAGATCATAACGTTAGCAACCCAGAGTCTTGCCACAAAGCAGAACACTAATGGGACGCCACAGAATAATCAAAATAACCATCATAAACTAAGCGAAATCTTTTATCAAGCCATCCCTAACATACAATGGAAGACACCATACAGTGATAGAAACAATCTCCTGTGAAACTACACAAAATTATCCCTTACAGATAGGGTCGTTTATTAATGAAGGCTGCTAGAATAGAACCTATAACGATAAGAATTACTCACTCCGTTCCAAATTATAAATCGCTTTAACTTTTTTGGTACATCGAATTTGCTATGTATCTAGACATACGTTATATCTACATACATAATAACAATGTTCCAAAGAAGTCAAAGTGACTTATAATTTGGAGTAGGAGTCAAGACTGAAAGCATTGGATTTCGATCTTTGAATCACAGTCAAGACTGAAAGCATTGGATTTTGCTCTTTGAATCACAGTCAAGACTGAAAGCATTGGATTTTGTTCTTTGAATCACAGTCCTACGTAGCCTACCCCAACTTGTTTGGGACTTAAATGCTTTGTTGTTGTTGTTGTTGTTATTGTTGAATCACAGTCCTACATGGTTGCCTCAGAAAAAGAACATTGCCTACCCAATCCTACAAAACTGAGCTTATCAGAAAAATAACAAACATTTCTGATCGTTTCTCAGTAGCACGACAGTCTATCCATGTGAATTGCATAGATAATATAACCCAGATGAAATATCAGAGTATCAACTACAGGAATCATTAGCTTGCAGCAAGAAACATGGAGCGACAATATATCTGAAATATTTCAGGGAATTGAATTCGCATTCGTTACCAGTGCACAAAATCAGGGTCTCATAACTCATAAGACACACTCAAAACGCAGGATCCACGAACAAATATAGAAGTTTTTTTAGCACAGATAGGTGAAACAAGATGAAAAAGACCTATGCGGTGAGCAGGACGGCGCCCCCGGCAGCCTTGATCTTCTTCTCGGCGACCTTGGAGATAAGCTTGGCCTTGACGACGATGGGCTTGGGCGGCAGCATCCCCTTGCCGAGTACCTTGAAGTAGCCGAACTGCGTCACGTCCAGGAGCGGGGCCTTGTCCCCGCCGGCCGCCTCGGCTGCCTTGTCGGCGGGCACCATCGACCAAAGCCGCTCGACGTTGACCGAGGGGCAGTAGAATTTGTTGCGGAGCTTGTGGAAGTAGCGCATGCCGACCTTGCCGAAGTAGCCCGGGTGGTACTTGTCGAAGAGGATGCGGTGGTGGTGCATGCCTCCGGCGTTACCGCGACCTCCCGGGTGCTTCCGGTGCTTGCCGATGCGACCGTGCCCCGCCGACACGTGCCCGCGCTTCTTCCGGTTCTTCTTCAGGCTCGTCGTCATCGCCGCCGCTCGCCGCTGGACGCCGCCGGGTGTTGGGGTTGGAGAGGGAGGAGTGGTGGCTGGAAACCCTAGGAAAACGAAGACGTTATCTTTCTTGTAAGGCGAGCGCACGGCATGGTCTCCGTCGGATGCGCGGTGTGGGGGATCTGGAACCGTTGGATTAATGGGCCATCGACGTTGCTTACTGCTAGGGTTTTGCTTTGGGCTACAATTGGGTTAATTTTGGGCTGAGCTTGTCTGACAGAATATCCTGGGCCGACGTAAGAGTGGGCTAGTCTCGCCTGGCCTCGGCAGCTAGCGGAAGCGAATTTTCATCAGACCTTCTTCGTCTAATCGTCTTTCGAACCAGAACAGACAAAAAAAAAACAGAGGTGTTTTATAAATGTTAAAAGATTTATATGAAATTTAGTTAAGACTAAAGAAGTTTGAGTTGGGAATAAAATCAAAATAATCTAATACAACTTGAGAAGGAGTAGTTTTTGATAAAGCAATTGTGCATTTGTCAACTTTGTTTGGCATGCCATGTTTCATTCAGACAGCATCACCAATCATCATCCTCAGCATGTGTAGCCATGTTTCAAGATCAACATGGAAGACAAACGTGGATCAAGGATATTAGTACGATACCTGCCAAATGTTTTTACACTACAAGAATGTAACTATTTTGTAATCAGCATTTCCGGGACGATGATGAACATGGCAGATGGCCGCTTTGTCCGTGGTCCCACATCAAGTAGCTTTACCTAGCTTTCTTCATACATATTGTTTCCATCTGATGAATGCCCGATGCCAAAGGTTCAATTGGCCATTGTGATGGAGGTGATTCTTCACCTCAACACGGTGCTTGAGATGAAAGCGCTCTCCTTTGACGAGATTGCATCCTAGGATGAATTATTAACTAATGATGATGACACCTTCTCTAGAGCCAGCAAATGAGGCGCTTCAAGCTCTCCTTTGACGAGATTGCATCCTACAATGAACTAACTGATGATGACACCTTCTTTAGAGCCGGCAGTTGAGGCGCTTCAGGATGTACTCCCATGCCCTACTACCATGCATGGAACTATGGAAGCGTCCTCTGGTCGATAGCCCAAATCCCCACCTGCGATGGCACTCATCTTGGTTCTTATGCCTCTTCTATAGTGGTTGCTCATCCGTGATACTCCTTCAACATTGGTTGTTGCTAGAGGAGTGATGTCATCGATGGGTTCTGCTATCTTACCATCGAATATTGTCAAAGTTGGAGCCTTGGATTTGGTTGAGGCATCTCCTGGCTTGGTCGTGTGGTCACCATGTTCACCAGCCAGATTCAGATTTGGCCTCATGCTCTAGAGTGGTCCTGCTACCTTATCGTCAAAGGTCGTCAAGATTGGAGCCTTGAATCCGGTGGAGGCATCTCTTGGCTCGGTCATGTGGTCACCATGTTCAATAGCCAGATTCAGATTTTGCCTCATGCTCTAGAAAAAGAAGGAATGGAAGACGATGGACATCAAGCCATGGACGGGTCAACATTGTAACACTCATCAAGCCTCTAAGCATCACGATTGCGAGATAGTTGTGCCCTCGAGCAGTTAAGCTTACTGGAGATGGTGGGCCATGGGCCATGGTCGTCGGAAGATCTTCACAGCTAAGGTTATTCACCTTTAGTCGCGTTCTTACATTTTCTTTGTTTTCGACTGCATCAGCTAGATGCAAATTGTTTGCCTGCGGTACTTTTGTTGATCCTTGCAAGATTCGTCTCGTTATGATTGCGGATGTCGCGTGAAAGGTCCTAATATGGCTAGAGGAGGGTGAATAGCCTATTTAAAAAATTCTATAAGATCACTAGAGCAATTTAATTAGTATGATAAATAGCGAAATGTAAATTTGTTCTAGCTCTACAAGAGTTGTAAGCCACCTATCTAATAATTCTAGTTACTATGATCACTAGACACACAATTTGCTATGTTGCTACTCACTAAGAGCTCTCAAACTTGCTACGCTAAAGAGCTCCACTAGATGAACTTAAACTACAAAGTAAGCTCTCAATTCTAGCTACACTAAAGAGCCTGCTACAACTAGTTTGCGGAAATATAAATGAGTAAGTAGGGTGATTATACCGCCGCGTAGAGGAGTGAACCAATCACAAGATGAATACCAATTCAATCACCGGAAAAATACCAAAGGGCAAGAGACAACCAATTTTTCTCCCGAGGTTCACATGTTTGCCGGCACGCTAGTCCCCGTTGTGTCGACCAACACTTGGTGGTTCGGCGGGTAAGAGGTGTTGCACGAACCTCATCCACATAATTGGACACCACAAGAACATATCCACAAGTGAGATAACTCAATGACACGAGCAATTTATTAGAGCTACCTTGAGGCACTTGGCCGGGAAAGGTGCAAGACCCCTCACAATCACTCGGAAGATGGCCACGAACAATCACCAACTCGTAATAATCCTCTACTGCTCCAAGCCGTCTAGATAGCGCAACCACCAAGAGAAACAAGAAATCCGTAGCCACAACGATCGTCAAGTGCCACTAGATGCAATCACTCAAGCAAATGCACTTGTAATCACTCAATCTCACTTTGGATTCGCAATCAAGCAAGATAGATGAGTGTGAGGGAGTATGCTCAACTCACAAGGATGTCAAGAATGTCAAAAGTCCAAGAGAAGTGCCTTAGAGCCATCCAAACACTATTTATAGATGTCAACAAACGAATAGAGCCATTAAAGCCAGGTCGTTCTGCGTACTGACCGGACGTGCCAGTCGAGTTGACCGGACGCGTCCGTGCCCGCGTCCGGTCGCGTGGATCATGCCACGTGTCACCGCTTTGAATTCAGCGCGTTGATCTTAAAGGTCGAAAAACGGTCAGCGCGATTCGTTAAGTAACGACCGGACACGCTCCTCCACAGCGCGAAGCCGAGTCAGATCATTTCCAGAGACGATCCAGAGCGCTAAAATCGTGACCGAACACGTCAGGTTAGGGATGACCAGATGCACCGGTGAGTCCGGTCAGCACAACGTTCTTCATCGCGCGCTCTTGCTGCTGACGTCAGCGTATGTCAGCTGCGACCTGACGCATGCCCTGTGCGTCTAGTCACGCGCTGGTGCCTGAGTCCGCTCGATCGAAAAAGTGACCCGACGCGCCGGTGGCAGCGTCCGGTCCTTCACCTCACTCTCGGCCACGCCACTACACCTCGGTTAAAAATGATCGGACGTGCCCGGGGCGGGCGCGTCCAGTCACCCCGCGGCCAGCGTCCGGTCGTGGACTTCCTCCTCCTTTTCTTTTTCTAAGTCCACAACCACTTCACCCTTACTTCCAAGTTGCTAACCACAAAGTATAGAACTTGTGTGCACGTGTGTTAGCATTTTTCAAACATTTTACAAGGGTCAAAGTTAGCACACTAGGTTTCTAAATGCACATGCAAGAATCATGTCACCTAGTGACACTTGATAAACCATTTAGCTAAAGATTTCATCTATTTATAGTACGGCTATCGATCATAAGTCACTCACACCCTCTATGGTGTCATGAGTGCAAAACAAAAAACTATCATATACCTTTGCCTTGATCATCTTGGTTTTGTTTTTCTCTTTCTTTTTTTCTAAGTTCGAGCTTGATCATCATCAACACATGCCCATCTTCATCACTATGGACCTTATCTTGCTCAATCACTTGGATTGGACCACCTTTTCTAATTTACACACTTAGATCAAAGGTTAGTCCTATGTTTCATCAATTATCCAAAACCAAACTAGGGTTTTCATCGTGCCTTTCCAATTTGTGGGTAAGTCTAAACTTGTTAGGATTATGATGTGATTTTTAGGATTATGATGTAATTTTTTCTGTCTGGACGTTCGAACGAACGCGCGTGCGGCCCGCCCCACGAGTGCGCTCCGGTCCGTCTCTACGCCAGTCGGTCCTTCCCCTGACCCCCTCCTCTCTCTCCGACTCTCCGCGTGGATGACACATGGGAGCCGAGATGAGCGGCTGAGGACGGGCACGTCCCCCCTCCCCCCCCCCGACGCCCTGACCTACAACAGCCCCATCCATCGGTCCACAGTCGAACAACATAAAACACTTGCAATATGAATGCAACATAAGACTGAAAACAGATGAAATATTTGGAGCATACTCTTGCAACATGTGTGTAAAACACATGAAAACATCTAAAATAAAACACTTGCAACATGAAACCACCTGCTGCAACATAAGACTGAAACAACTGAAACATTTGAAACATATTGTTGCAACATATGCAACGTCAAGATAAAAAAGGATTACAACATATGTCTAGAAACAGATGAAACATTTTGAACAAACGCTTGCAACATGCCTTTGAAACACTTTGCAACATATGCAACATGTGCAACATCCCCCCGATTTACTTTTGGAACATCAAAATAAAATAATTGCAACATACATTTAAAACGACTAAAACATTTGAAACATACATATGCAACATAGGGGAGGAAAAAGGTCGGGTTGGTCGATTCTGGACGTCGGGGTGGGACCCGATGGTGAGCCACGGCGCACGAGCACCACCAGCACCGCTCGCGCTCGTGGGTGCCCTTGGCTCGACCGGGGAAGACCTAAGGCGCCACAACACATGCACCCCAACAACCATGGCGGGGTCAGCGGGGCGCGTGCAACGATGATGGGAGACAGACGGCGAGGGAGTGAGCGGGACATGTGACTGGGATGGCCGCGCGACGCGGCCGGTGATGGGGCGCGGGGCGGTTGGGGAAGGGCGCAGCCGACGAGCGCGCGGTGGGGATGGAGCGCGGACGAATGAATGGCCACGTTGTGTTGCATCGGCGTCGGACGGATAAGGATGAGCAAGTGGGGATTGTTTTTCTGTTTCTAATAGAGATAGGGCTCACTTGAGCCGTGTCCGGACGGGACTCATGGACAAACGCCATGGCATATATGTATTACGAGTTCCCCGATGACAAGGACATGACTAGTCACTGGTGGCATCGGTCAGATCAAGTATAATAACAGGCTATAAGTAGGTTGAATGCTGAGGTGGAGGAGAGAGAAGATGAGAGTGAGGAGAAGCGGGCTATAAGCTTACAGCCGGCTTAGACACAAGAGCCTAGAAACTCTGTGAAAGGGATAAATGGGCCATGAATTAATACTGAAGAGCTAACTACTATACGGGTGGGTTGAGAGGTAGGCTGTAATAATTCTTGCAGCCAGCAACCGGCTATATTATTAGCCTTGCTCTAAGCAACATTTTACTTTACCGTGACATAGCGCAACTGTGCAAGGTCAAGGTTTCTGCGTCTGGACTCGGCCGTATCTTGTCTTCGGGATACCAAGGGTGTGCTTCAACAGCCTCACAAAAACGAGATGGGCCGGTCGATGGCTTGGCCAAACATCACCACCGCCGCCGGCAAACAGTGCAGTGAAGAGAGGTAATGTGGCTGCTGATGCTCGACTGCGCTATCTCATTCAGGCTCAAGGATACGAGAGGATGAGAATCCGATCCCTAAGACTGTCTCCAATGGTTGTCCTATATGGGTACCTATTTCTAAAATGGGTCTCGAATGATACTATATCAGCCTCTAAGAGAGTACCTATATGCGAGATTTATTTTGGGTTACAGTAAAGACACAACCCAAATATAAGTATCCTATCTTCTGGAGACTTATTTACAGAAAGAGTTCTCTTTTGAGTTCTATTGTTGGAGAAGAAAAAAAAAAGAAAGATACGAAACTCTAAAAAAGGACTGAGTCAAGATAGCCTAACAATGATGCCCAGTAAATATAAAAGCCGTATCCTATCTTACCAAAACAATTTATTTACGAGAAAGCCCACGAGACTGACCGATCCATAGCAGAGTCATCTCCATTGTTGGAGAAAAGAAAAAAACCATCGAATCCATGGGCCCAGTGGAACCCATGGCGCCGCTCTTAGGCCCGACTCAATACGAAACTCTAAAAAAGGACTGAGTCAAGATAGCCTAACAATGATGCCCCAGCGCTGAAAAGCTGCCACAACCAGTTTGCGCCAAAACAATGGTCTAGGCCGCCGGAGGCCACGAGCCCACGAGACCGTGACCGATCCATAGCAGGTCATCTCCATCTGGCGTTGCCTTTCCACGCATCGGTCTCCCTTCCAAAAGCTTCCACCGTCCCATTCCAAAACCATCGAATCCGCGGGCCCAGGGAACCCGCAGGCGCCGCTCTTACCCCCTTCCCAATGGAGGGTGATGCCCAAAACTGTTGAAGGTCCACGTGACAGAAGTTGACATTGATCACTGTTTTGACACCAGTCGTGGGGCCCACAGAGAAAATAGAAAAAAGTGAAAAAGCAAAAGCTAGAACCGGTTCGGTGCATGTGCTGGATCAGCGTGTGTGTCAATCTCTCTCCTCCCTCTTCTTATTCTATTTAGGGCATGTTTAGTTTCCAATTTTTTTTGCGCACGATATATTATATCGAATTTTGCGGCACATGTATGGAGTACTAAACGTAGACGAAAAAAAACTAATTGTACAGTTGGGTGAGAAATCGCGAGACGAAACTTTCGAACCTAATTAGTCCATAATTAGACACTAATTATCAAATATAAACGAAAATGCTACCGTAACCAAAACCTAAAAAATTTTGTATCTAGACACGCCCTTAGTTAGCACTGCTGCTTATACTTGCGTAGCTCCCATTTCTGCTGACATTGACATCGCCTGCTGCAATGACAGGAGCGGTGCCCCAAATTTCTCTCTTCGTTTGAAGCACCACTCAAGCGATACACTGCGGAGGTTCTTAAGGCCGGTCTCAGTGGGATTTAATATGACATCGTATTGATAAAGAGAGATAATAAAAGTTTTATGAGAATAGAAAAAATTTTATAGAGATAAAACTTTTATGCACTATAGATGCATCGGTAAAGCCACGCCATAGCCAACCCCGCATGTGGCCGATTGTCTATAAAGAAAACCGACCGCACATTCGATCGCCTCGCCCAGCCCAAAGCTCACCTCATCGCATCCCACCACCATCTCGTCGTCCGCCGATTCGATCCGGTTCTTCCAACCCGCGGTGAGTCGCCGGATCCGTCGCCGTCTGGTCTCCGTGTGCTCTCGTCGTCGTAGTCTGAGTCTGACCCCCTCCCGCGGCGTCGTGTCTGATGCTGCTGCGTGCAGGGAGTGATATGGCGACCAAGAGGAGCGTGGGCACCCTCGGCGAGGCGGATCTGAAGGGGAAGAAGGTGTTCGTGCGCGCCGACCTCAACGTCCCGCTCGACGACGCCCAGAAGATCACCGATGACACCCGCATCCGCGCCTCCGTCCCCACCATCAAGTTCCTCCTCGAGAAGGGCGCCAAGGTCATCCTCGCCAGCCACCTGGTAAGTCATCCCACCCACTGATCCCACCTACCCGGCCGTCTCATAGTTCAGGATACTGCCTGTGCCTGTCGCGAGAATCGGCCTCGCGCGATGCGGTTCTGCGTCGTCGCAGTGTCAGGATTTGGAGTCAGTTTGAATCTAAATCATTGTTTTGACTCAATGCTGTTATGCCAATGATATGTCAGTAGTGATTAGCAGCTCTTTCTAGATGGGGATGTGCCATAATTTTGTGCCAAAGGTGACCCAGTTTTAGTTTTAGATCTGTAAATTTATACTGGTTTGCACGGCTACAACTCTTGTCTGATTAACCGACTGACTGTAGTTCATTTACTTCTAGACAATTGTTAGCTGTTGCAGCTCAGTGTGATGAATGATCATGGAAACTGTGCCAACCCTTAGCTAATAGTTGATATTCAGATTACTTCTTAGTGACGTTCTGTGATTCTGTGCCTGGTCATTATTCTTGCTTGTAACCTTGCCAACAGTGAACAGTCCAGTCCAGCAGTTCCACTAATAGTATGCCAGTATATATTAAAGGATCAGCATGATTCAACATGGATTCTGGCGCCATCATTCTGATTACCGATCAGCATGATTCAACATTAAGTTTGCCTGTCTATATATTTATGAATTAACAAGATGGGGAGTTGACCTTTATAGGATTGTACATTATAAAAGTAAGTAGAGTTTTTGGTACTGGTGAAGTACATGGGGTTATTTGTCTTCGCTATTGCTTTCAGCTGACCAATGAAAGTTCTTTTTTCTATGGTTGATGGCTGAATGCTGGTTTAAGCCAAAATGTTCCCTTTGGCTTCTATGTAAGTTATATTATATTAGTTGGAAGTTGGGACAAACCTGTCTACAATGACATTCAATTCGGGCTATCATTATCATTTCCCAATTCAATCCTGTCCTCTGCTGCAACTAGTATTTCATTTTGTTTGACAGTATGAAAATAATAGCATTTTTCCATGATATGAAATGATAGTATATCTAGTCTAGAAACTGAAAGCTGATGCTCAGAAACAACATATTTATGAGATCTTGTTCCCCTTGGCAATTGGCATTTTACACCATGATAATTTATAGCTAAGTGTACCATTTTGGGAAATGTCCAAACTAAAGCAGTTATATTGTAAAGGTATTATTATTTTGCTTCTAACCGATTTTCTGTGGTTGCTTAACCCGTACGCGTTTTCTTGTACCCCTTGGAAATTGGCATTTTGCACCACGATAATTTATATCTAAGTCTACTGTTTTTGGAAATATCCAAACTAAAGCAGTTATATTGTAATCTAAGTGTACTGCTTTTGCTTCCAACTGATTTTCTGTGGTTGCTTAACCTGTATGTGTTTTGTGAATCAATCTTTGTGGTTATTATCTGTAACACATCAACCTTTTTTGGGTTCGAATGTAGCAACAATAACTAATTCTGCCTTTTCTTTTTGTAATAATGTAATTTGTTGATGCCATTGCCAGGGTCGTCCAAAAGGTGTCACCCCAAAGTACAGCTTGAAGCCTCTTGTTCCACGCTTGTCTGAGCTCCTTGGAGTTGAAGTATGCTAAGATTTGACATTAGCTTATTTTGATATTTGCTATGTTTTAGTTATTTTAAGCGCTAGAATATGTGCGTAAATAGGTTGTGATGGCCAATGATTGCATTGGTGAGGAAGTTGAGAAGTTGGCTGCTGCTTTGCCAGAAGGTGGAGTTCTGCTCCTAGAGAATGTTAGATTCTACAAGGAGGAAGAGAAGAACGAGCCCGAGTTTGCTAAGAAGCTAGCATCTGTTGCTGACCTTTATGTCAATGATGCTTTTGGCACGGCACACAGAGCTCATGCTTCAACTGAAGGAGTTACCAAGTATTTGAAGCCTGCTGTTGCTGGCTTCCTCATGCAGAAGGTAATAAAATGTTACCCCTGCTCATGATCTTTTAAGTATATTTAGGTCCTGTTGAGTAGGATGTGGTAAAATGGCTGTATGTTTTATCTATCATTGTTTATTCCATGCATTCCTTTGTAGTTTCAAATCGTTCAATTTAACCTGGTAGATCATCTATACGTAGTTCCAAAGGGAAAAAAAATCTTATGATTAAATGGATCCTCTCTGCATTTATAACGGGTAAATTTTATGTTATACCTTTCAAAAGAGACCAATAAATCTTTTTAAGAATTCAGTTTTTCATCATAAAGAAAAAAAGGAAAGGTTTGACAAATGACTTCAATTATCCCAGGAACTTGACTATCTTGTTGGAGCTGTTGCCAACCCAAAGGAGCCTTTTGCCGCCATTGTTGGTGGATCCAAGGTCTCAACTAAGATTGGGGTCATTGAGTCTTTGCTGGAAAAGGTTGATATCCTCATCCTTGGTGGTGGTATGATCTACACATTTTACAAGGCACAGGGATATTCTGTTGGAAAATCTCTTGTGGAAGAAGATAAACTTGAGCTTGCAACTTCCCTTATTGAGAAGGCGAAGGCAAAGGGGGTTTCTCTTTTGCTTCCCACTGATATTGTAGTAGCGGACAAATTTGCAGCTGATGCTGAGAGCAAGGTTAGTTTATTTACACATAAACACCTCAGATGGTACTTCAGAATTCTCTCTTTTTTTGATAAATTGTGAAAGCTATTCAATACTAATTCTACAGCTTACATGTGCAACAAAGTATAATTGCACATGAATAGTTCAGTGTTACTAGTGATGTGGCATGTTAATTTGTATGATAGTAATTTCATAGTGCAGCACTGGAAACAAATTTGTCATGCTATCTTGATGCTTACTCGAATGACTTTTACAGATTGTTCCTGCCACTGCTATCCCTGATGATTGGATGGGTCTTGATGTTGGCCCTGATGCCACCAAAACATTCAATGAAGCATTGGACACCACCTGGACTATTATTTGGAACGGTCCCATGGGAGTGTTTGAGTTTGAGAAGTTTGCAGCTGGCACTGAGGTGAATATAATCTTGCATTCAATCAATCAATTAATCTGCGCTTGTCATGTCCATTTTTTTATTTCTTAGTTTTGGCAACTAAGACAATTGTGTTTTGTCAGGCGATTGCCAAGAAGCTGGCTGAGCTTACAACCACAAAGGGTGTCACTACCATCATCGGCGGTGGTGACTCTGTTGCTGCTGTTGAGAAGGCTGGGCTGGCTGACAAGATGAGCCACATTTCGACTGGCGGTGGTGCAAGCTTGGAGCTCTTGGAAGGCAAGACTCTACCAGGTGTCCTTGCGCTCGATGACGCCTAAGCTTCATGGTTCTGCCAGCTTGCGTGCCATTTTGTTTCGGACCTTGGTGTAACACTGCAAAGTTATGGCTCTTATATGGACTTGGGATAGGCTTGCCATCGAGTTTTGGTAGATGAGTCGTGAATAAGCTTTTACTTCCTCGCTGCTGTGAGTGAAGTGACTGGAATTCGGAAATTTGGAACTAACAAACTTCCATGGATTTGTATGATATGTTTTGTTCGACAGTTTGCATCCCTTCACTGTGATATCTGATATGTTTTGTTCTGACAGTTTGCATCCCTGTGTTGCCGTAGCTATTCGTTCCTGCTACCTGTACCGCCAGATGAATTGGCAATAAGGTTTTCTAATTTAGTTAGTTAAATTGTCTTCTTTCAGTGTTCTAATGGCAGCCACTTGCACATAAAACTTGCTTCCCGAGTTTAATGGGGTTGGCGCACTATTTTATTTATTAATTCATTATATTATAACTTAAATTTGGTTGCTTTTCCATATCTATTTGGAAAGTGCATATTGTCATTGAGCTTTAGGGTATGTTTGGTAGGGATTTGTATTTGTTTTAGATCTGGTTAGGGATTCGGATTTGTTTTAGATCTGGTTTTTTTTGAGAAACTTTTTTCTGCTGAATCAGAACCATTTTGTAGAACTGTTTAAACTAGGTTTTAGGTGTTTCTTTGGACTAGGGTTTAGGTTTTTCTCTGGACTTATTAGACTCTTGAAACTAAAATTTAAGTTAGGAGAAATCAGGTAACTAGAACTTGAATCATGAGAAACCAATGGATTCTTGAAACTAGAATTTGGGTAGAAACTAATTTAAGTAGAAACTAGGGAACTAAAACTTGAATCAGGAGAAACCAAGTTTCATGAGAAACCAATGGATTCTTGAAACTAGAATTTGGGTAGAAACTAGGTAACTAATACTTGAATAAGGAGAAACCAAGTTTTAGGTGTTTCTTTGGAGAAGTAAAAAACGAGAATCGGTTTTAAGTGATTTTCCCCAGAACGTTTCTATCTTTGTACCATTTAACAACGATCATAGTGATTTTATTAGTTTACTTCTATATTCTCTGTTTCTTTTAAACGAATAAGGCTATAATAATAAAATAAAAAGAAGGAATTTAGACTGGACAATTCAACAAAGCAGCAAAAACAACCTAAACGGTTGAGCAACAGCACAAAATAACTGTAAACAACTATAAGCACGACTATCTATTGCTATCTGTTGGATTGAGACCTCAACACTCTGCACAATATGACTCGCCATCGCTCACTGCTCTATATCATTGAATCACCCCAGCCAAAGAACTATATACAACAACTGCTGTGTATCACACATTCACACTACCACTTGTTGACTACCATGGTACTTTGCCATCACTTGAATGATAAATTCGACATGTCACAAGCTGTCGTCACCATGCATGATTCCATGCATTATATTATATATTCCCGGTATAATTCATTCTCCATCCATTCATTCCATGCCCTCTTTTTAAATTGTATATTTTTTGTTTCGTAAAAAAAATTGTATCATTTTTTTCTGGAAAGAGATGCTCTTGACTTAATTTTCTGAACCACTATTAATTGTCCCATCAAAATCGAACATTGTCACCATCTTATTATATTTCAGTCAACTTCGGTTCTTGTCCTTTTCATGACGCACAGTCCAAACAGCTGGAGCTGCCTAACCGGTGAAACAAATGAGGACATGTTCTGAAGAGTTAATTAGTCATCATAAATCACAACTGGAATTAAAAAAATAAAAAAATATGTTGTTTTTGTTAATCTTCTCCTTTTCCTCTTTATTTTTTAAAATTTTCAATTCGACAAGTCCAAATTCTCTGCATGACCAACATGAACGACGACATGCGACTTTGACATGGGAAGAAGCTTTCCGAATTGTGAAGGGGTCTTCCATGGAATGTGCGTGTTGCGAGCGAACAGGGTGCCTAGAGGAGTAGCATGATGTGTGTCGCTGTTAAGCACAAACACCAGAATCTTGCAAAATGTTTTTCCAGTGAATGAAGTCTGAGTTGCTTGGACTTTTGGGGGCAAGGAATCTAATTGAGCATCAGAGTGAACATGAATATTTGGTTAGGCTACATCATCTCATCCTAGTTTCTACCTGCAACATGCTGTTCACATGCTATGGATTCATATATAGTACCTTGCAATGTTTAGCTTTTTTTTAATGTGTGCACATTTCTGTCTGTACTATTTGATTGTGTAAAAAGTCCTTGACATGTCATGACAATCATGTATAGTTGATTTTGGTCAGTACTCGTGCACAAAAAGTTGTAAGATCTTGTCAGTGCTGAGATCATATGAATTGCAGGCTTTGTTTTTTTGTGAGTAACTTACATTGACTCCAAGTAATAGACACAGCCAAAATGGTACTCTTTCTGCACTGCCAAACTAATTATTGGAGTTTATAACTTTATTAGATGGCATGCTAAATCTGGAACTATCGTTAGGATTTGAGATGAACATATGAACAACACTGAAGAATGTTTAATGAATAGCACTGAAGAAATGTGTAATGAACAGCACTGAAGAATGTGTAATGAAAGGCAATAAATTCTAGAGGAGAACAGATGAACAACACTGAATTCTAGAAGAGAACAAATGAACAGCACTGTAGCCAGGCCTAGCTGCCTGTGCAATCAGTGTAAACTGGATGCAAAACTGAAGTAGATTACACTCATGTTCAGAAAAAAGCTGGAAACAATTGATTGAGCTCTGCGCAAGGTACGTTCAGCGTTTCTCGAGAAAAGTTCTGCACTAGACAGAACAAAAAACGTCTGTAAAGCAAACTCTAGCATATATAGCAGTGTCTGTAAAGCAAACTCTAGCATATATGCAATGGCAAGAGAAATTCCATTACAGAACAAGATCTACTAAACAAACAGAATCAATGGATAAGCAACAAGAGATTATATTAGCAATCTTCCTACCTTCCACATGCATGATCATTGGGGATGATCTGGAACAAGAATCGAGGCCCCCCAAAAACAGCAAAATGTTCATTGGGAGTTAATTTGGAAGAAAGAAGTACCAACAATTGATTTGACTTTTGGGCAAGAAACACTCCAAAAAAAACTTCAGTGGAGACACTCCAAGAACTTCTGCCCAAGACAAAAACATCTGCTAAGCAATATATATAAGCTGTTCCAATAAAAAAAGGCACCATGAAACCACTTAATGAAGAGAGGGAAAATATCACCATGAGACTGCTGTGACAAGACCTGCAAGATATATAGGAAAGGAAATTATTGGGTCAACAGTAAGAGATTCTTTAGGATCACACGAACTAGACCGCTAGACGACGACAAACTCTCGCTTGCTCAAGCTCAACCTTTTTCACTCAGATGGTGATCATTTGGTGGTGGTGAGAGAGTGAAGGTGCCGCATGATCTGATACGGAGAACCAGCTAGCAAGCTCCATGCACGAATGGCCATCGCCTAGCTAGCTAGCAGGAAAAACGAACCTTACTGCAGGGCAACACCAGAAGCCCTCTCTAACCGGAACCCACACCCATTCCCGGCATCAAACCATCGTCGACAACGTGATGAATATCAAATCCATATCCATCCACATGTGAATTCCTCGTGGATCTATATATCGCAGTGCGAGAACGAAAAACCATGAAACCCCATTGACAAAACTGCACTAGCTAGCTACCAACCCAACGCATAGCTAGCTAGGTTTGGGTGGTCAGATCAGATCATGCTGGCAGCTTCAACCTCTCACACCATCAAACACATGTATGGCAACGGCCGGCTGGCCGGCCTGTGTTCCAGGCTTGCAGCTTGCAGAGCAACCGGGGAAGGGGAAGACATGCTAGCAGCTAGCTAGCAGCAGGAGAGAGGACAGCACGTACATGAACTGAATGAAGAAAAGCATAATATGATGGATGGGGTGTGTGTGTGTGCATGGTGGTGTCATGGACTCATGATGTGGGTCCAAGCAAGCAGAGCATAATATGGTGGATGGACTGTGATGGTCATGGTCTCTCTATCTCTCTCTCTCTCTCTCTCTCTCTCTTGTGGCTCTCACTCACTGCACCCGTTGGTGAATCATGGCGCTGCCGTTTTGCCGTCGCCGCTAGCTACCTGAATGCGTATGCATCTGTGTGTCTTATGTGTGCAGAGTGTCCTTGCTTTCTCAGTCTGGTGGCAGACAATCGCAGACTAGTCAATCGACGGTGTTATGGCCGTATGGCGTCAAAGCTGTATGTGTGCATGCAATGGTGTTTTTTCCCCTAGCTTTTCGACGACGAAATAGAATCAGTCCCGCTCCACGCTAAACAGGTCAGGTTCAGCTCAACACATTCTGCTAGAGGAAAAAAATGTGGAGTTGTGACAGCACCTGAAGGATGCTCTACGAACTACAAGTTTTTTGTGGAGTTATTTCATGGTAGAATTTGTGGAGCAAAATTCGTTGAGCAGTCCTAAACATGCCCTATATACTCTACTCCAATGGTTAGGTGATTTGAGTGAGCTTCATCACTTGGCGTGACACTGACAGTGATGCCCTAACCGCTCGACGAGCTAGCACAGAGCTGGCAGCAGAGCTTGACAGCGTTCTGCACGGCAACACCGCATTAACAGCCGGTCAATCGGGACGCGTTCTATAATGACAAGAGCTAGTAGGAGAAGAGACGGGGCACTCAAGAGTCAAGACTACGCCAATGCCTCGGCGATTGTTTACGCACGCTTCCTTCACCCATCTGAAAAGACTGATGAAATAATCCTGTCATCACACATGCAAACGTACGTGCTACTGACGACAAAAACACCTACTGGTACTGCTGCTAGTGAGTAGTGACTGGTTGCCCAGGACACCACATGCACCATGCATGCATGCATAAAACTCTTGCCAATCACGATACAGCTCTAGCTTCTAAGACAGCTCTAGTTACACCTTCTTTGATGGATCAGCTAGCTTCAGTTGTAGAAAGACGTTTGATAAAACAACTTCTCCTAATAATAGATAAATGTAT